ATGTAGCTAATTTCTCATTCTGAAATGATTTACTTTTAGATTTTTAATTGTTTTGGATTGGTTCAGGCCTTGGATCAGGTGGAAGAAGAAGTCAATGCGCTAGCCGAGTGCTGTGACAAGTAACATTCTTCTCTCTTGTTTCTTATTTCTGTGAAATTTTTATGTTTATTTGTTATGAAAAAGCATTATATTTAGTTCATTAATGTGCTGATTAGTTCTTTAACTCGAGTGATGAATGGAATAGTAGTATTTCGGCTAGAACAAGGAGCTAAACATTTAAGCGGAAGTTAATGTCAGCAAAAGCTTTTTATCTGTAAATTCAGAAATCATTTGCATAGTTGACTGCTGATTTTGTTTCACGAATTTCATTTACATTGTTCTTGTAAATGTGCTTCTGCTCCATAGTGTTAGGATCATAAAGTGTCTACTTTCTTCTTCTTTGTTTTTGTTATTTGGTGGCAGAGATGGAACATTCATAATTTTTTTGCAACATTGTATCATCTTCTATTTATTTATTTATATATTTATATATTTGTTGGTGTAGAATTGCTTTGGCTTTAAACAGTTGCAATGCCACCACTGGTGATATTATTAGTACTACAGAGAGGCTGAAACAGGAACTTGAAATTACTACTCAGAGGCAAGAGATAGTGTCTTGCTTTCTACGTGATTATCAACTATCAAATGAGGAGGTATAAAATATAAATCAATCATGTGTATCATACTATTGATTTCATTCTTCTCAAGTAAATTTCAGTTCATGCTTGTTCTATGGATTGAGAGTTGTGCTTTTGCTTTCTACAGATAAATGCACTAAGGGAGGAAGACCTTAATGAAAATTTCTTCAAGGCACTTGCTCATGTTCAAGAAATACATGCAAACTGCAAAGTGCTCCTTAGGACTCATCACCAGGTGACCTTCATGTGTATGTCTGTACTTAATAAAAAGAGAGCTATCTAAAATGACTAAAAGTAACAAAAGACAGATCCCCATTTGATTTGGAAATTTATGTTTCATAAAATGGATACAAGGAGAGTTCACTTGTCAAAGATTTATAATTCCTTCAGTTGGTTGACAATTTATAAGCTAAGGTTAGGAAGATCCATGAGCTCAACACTTTTGATGCACTCAAGCGCATATGAGGAAGTGTAAAATAGTGATGGCTAATTTATGAATAACCTAAAGTTATAGTGCTCAACAAAGTCAAAAATAAAATTTCAAACCTGCGAAATCTTATACCCATGGAGTATAAGAAAGATTTGAGTATTTGACATTTTGAACACCATGAGAGAAAGAAAAGTGCAATTGGGAACCTCTATGCTTCAATTCTTTACTATTGTCTAATCAGAATCCTTGGACTGAAATAAGTAATATGAAAAAAATGATTTCCATACTACTGCAAAAATATAGTAATTAAAGTCCATGCGAAAGTAGGGGGCAAGGAAAGACAGTATGCTATATCCCACTTGACATTGAATCTGAAGCTGTGTGTATTTTTATTTTGTTTTTCTGGACATGCCTGACCCGCATTAGATTGGCTTCATTTTGCATCTTTTTGCTGTATTCTTATTTCTCTGCATGAACAGCTATCCTACTTTTTTTTTAATAACATAGTAACAGAAGTTATAATTAATATTAATTCAATTTGCTATCCACAGCGTGCTGGTTTGGAGCTTATGGATATGATGGCCATGTATCAAGAAGGAGCTTATGAACGTCTTTGCAGGTTTGGACTTCTCTAAATTAATTAATATAATCTTTGATTGTTAGGATTTATTTTTGTATGAGTACATGTTTTTTTTAAAAAGCTTGTTGCCCCTATTGGCCTATTCTGTTGTGTGGTGGCACACACTAGAATTAGCATATGCTGCATGACAATGTTTTGGGTATAGCAGGCTTTTGAGGCTTTCTGTTATGTAGTTTGAAGTTTTGTTTGCATCACCATCCTAATTTAAATTTTAATTCTGCTGTACTGGTGGCAAAAGTGTTCTTTGTTGCAGACCTTAAAGGCTTAAATTCAAGATCAATTTAGTAGTACTTTATGTTTTCAGTATAGTATTCTCCATTAGAGAGGAATGTCAGAATATTATCCAGCCATTTGGTTACTGCTGCTGCCATTATTTCTGAGAATTTGTTTATATAGATATTCTGCAGACATATACCATTGTTTTTCTTTTCTTCTTTATATTGAACATATTGTAATGTATGTTTTAAAGGTCTATTTTATATTGGAATTGAATAGTAATTTACTATTTACCCAATTAATAATTGTGGTGATTATTTCTTTTTCTAGGTGGGTTCAAACAGAATGCCGAAGGCTGGGTGACATAGATAACCCTGAAGTAAGTGACCTTTTGAGAACAGCAGTGCGTTGCCTCAAAGAAAGACCCGTCCTTTTCAAATATTGTGCAGAAGAGGTACTTTTTTTTAAGGGCTAACATAACAAATTCAATTAACTAAACAGAAAAAATATAAACTATATAGAAATTGACCTATTGTTTTTTGCAAGTTGTATTCACATTATGCATCACTTTTAAAGGTTGCAAACATGAGGCACAATGCTTTGTTTAGAAGATTTATAAGTGCTCTCACGCGTGGAGGACCCGGTGGACTACCTAGGCCTATTGAAGTGCATGCTCATGATCCTCTAAGATATGTAGGAGACATGCTTGGATGGCTGCATCAGGTGAGATAAATTTGCCATCTATGTTTATTTTATGAAAGTTCAAAGTGTCACATGTTTGATTTACTCCCCCTCCCTTCTTTTTTTTTTTTTTTTTTTACTTTCACAGGCATTGGCATCCGAAAGAGAACTTGTCCTTGCATTGCTAGAACCGGATGCAACTGTAGATGCTGGGTCAACTGCACATCAATTCTCCAAAGGCCCAGAGGCTGATACAGGAAAGAAGGAATCAGATTTAACATTTGTTCTTGACAGGATCTTTGAAGGGGTTTGCCGGCCATTTAAAGTAAGAGTTGAACAAGTTTTGCAGTCTCAGCCTAATCTTATCATTTCATACAAACTCAGTAATACCCTGGAGTTCTACAGCTGGACTGTGAGTGGAAATCTACTTTCAATTCCAATTTTTTACTGTATGGTTTATTCTTTTTCCTTTTCTATAAATGTTATTTTCTATTATAGATGTCAGACTTGCTAGGAAGGGAAACAGCACTTTGTAATACACTTTGGGTGCTCAAGGAGGCAGCTTCCAAAACCTTCTTTGACATGCTAAAGGCTCGGGGAGAGAAACTTTTAAGATATCCACCATTGGTTGCTGTTGATTTATCTCCGCCACCAGCTGTAAGGGAAGGTGTCTCATTGCTCCTTGAAATAATTGATACACATAATAGCATGATGGTTCCTGCCTATGGGAAAAACCCCTCCTTTGATCCAGTCATCTCTGCTCTTCTAGATCCTATTATCCAGGTAAGCCATCTTTGACCATTTTATGATTTTTATCAATAAACTTAAGGATCAATTCGATTAGTTCTTTGTTTCTTAGTGTGGTAGTCACAGTAATTGGTCCACGTACTCATCCCCACCATCCGAGCTGATGGGTTAGTGAACTTCTCTGTAGCGTGCTACAACATCTTTAATAACTAACCTATTTCTCAACTTACTGTCTCTGCAGATCTGTGAGCAAGCAGCAGAGGCACACAAGTCCAAGGGAGCCATTCAGTCCTTGAGAAGAAATAGAACTACCTCTGATCCTAATCAAATCCGTAGATCATCTCTAGATGCTATTGTTGAGAGTGGCCGTGCCACACCATCCTCTCAGGTTTGTATTATCCAATATTGTCTGAGAATTCTTCATGGAGTGGATAGGTGTTTAGATGCAGGAGGCTTGGTAAAACAGTCTAGTTTTAACAATCACTGTTTTTTTTAAAAATTATTAGCATTCCCATATTTAGCGACTACTTTAGTCTTTAAAAGGAATTTTTTCTTGACACCAGGTGTCTCGTAAAAGTTAAGCTTTAGCCTTCTTGATTTCAAGGTTAAATAATACTCCCTATCAAAATGGCTAGGATACTGATCAGTAACAACATTGTAAATTTGTAATCCCTGAAGCTGGATGAAAACACTTATAATTTAACATTCAGCTGCTATGAATGCTAATCTGATAAATATGATTTTCATTGGTTATCAGACTCTTTTCAGCCATTGTGTGTGTGCAAGTCTGTGTACTTTGCCTCATAATAGTAAGGATCTATAATTCTGTTTGTGCAGAGCGAAACACCAGCCAAAATTTTCCTCATCAACTGCTTGTGTGCCATCCAACAACCATTGTTTGGACATGAAGTTGCATCTGAGTATGTCAACAAACTTGGTCTGATGATAAATGATCACATGCGTGGTCTTGTTGAAAAAGAAGTTGATACCATCCTTCGAAGATGTGGTTTGTCAAATAAGATGCCTCATTTCCACAAGTCATTTGAAATCGACGAGTCTGGCAACGTAGTTGAGGGGCCACCACTAGCAGAGATCGAAGACATGGCTCCTCCAACTGTTGCAGATAGTCTGAAAGCATTCTTTGGCCTCATTTTGGGAAGCGAGAGTACACTGCCAGAATTCGAGCCAATGCAAGTACCAAGACTGCGATCAGAAGCTTGTGCACAGGTGGCTAGGTCACTGGCCGAAGCATACGAGCTTATTTATAAAGCCATCATGGACCCCAAGAATCACTACCCTGACCCCAAGTCACTGGCTAGACATCCACCTGATCAAATTAGGACAATTTTGGGAATTTGATCCTGCGGCTCACACCCAAATCAGTTTAATCTGTCCATTATCTTCTGCAACATTACATGTAAATTGACTTGTAATTTTTTGCTTCACTTATGCTTAAAGAAGAGAGACCTTTCCTCCAACACATCCATACTTGTATTCCTTTGTGTCAAACCTTTTCAGGACATTGCAGTTGTAATCCAAAACTTTATATAGTACCAGAAGTTTTGCCATTCAATGACACTACAGCTTCAAGTGGCAGATCTTTACAACTGTCTATGATGTTCCAAATCTTACATACCAATCTCATCAGCCAGACGTTTACTGCTTCCACAAAGCAACAACACTTCATTTACAAATGATTCATGAGGTCGTAACCCAGCTCTCTTCATCTCTTTAATAATCTTAATACCTTCAACGGAAAAACCATGTTTTATGCAACCATTAAGCAGTGCATTCCACAAGGCAACATTTCTTTTATCACTAACCATGTCAAACACTGTCCTCCCATCCATTACCAACCCATATTTTCCATACATATCAATCAAGCTACACAGCACATGATCATCAGTATCAAGTCCCAACTTGATGCCATTCGCGTGAAGTTGACGACCACAGCCTCCCCCGTCCCTCATTTTCCCAGAAGCTTTAAGAACACTCGAAAAAGTAAAGCTGTTTTTCTTTACTCCCACTCTCCCCATTTCCTTGAACAAATTTATAGCCTCGTCATACTTCCCCGTGTTAGATGAATTAACAATCTTCGCTGTCCAAACAACTGTATTTCGGTTTGGCATTTGATCGAACACATTATCAGCATCATCAAAACAACCAAATTCCCCGTAAAACTTGATCAGAAAACTATTCAAAGCCACGTTTTCACCATGTCCTAACTTCAATGACCACCCGTGTATCTGCTTCCCAAGTTCCAAGTTCATCGTTCCTACACAAGCCTTCAGAGCGCAAATCACTATCCCATTAGCCACGATATCATCCCACTCACCTCCATTGCTGTCTTCTCGCCTCATTTCCACAAACAAATCCATCGCTTGTTCAAACTCGCCGCTCTCAACACAACCCGCAATCATCACAGCCCAAGACTTAGAATTCCTAACTCGCATTTTCTCGAACACCTGGCGCGCATCGTCCAAACATCCACACGACACGAACATCAGCAACACCCGGTTAACTACGCCCAAACTAAGGCTCGCCCCGGTTCTGGCGATATGACCGTAGAGCTCGACAGCTCCGGAAGCTTCACGAGCGGCAGTGCATTCTTTGATGAGAGAAACATACACGTCCGCCGTCAGGGGAACGCCCAGGCTATCCATCAAGCGCAAAATGTCGGAGCTTGAAGGGGATGTGATTTCAGTTTTCTTGGGTGGGCGCCGATTGGGTCTTTGCAGAGGCAATTGAATTCGATTGGGCGGGTTAGAGAGGCGAGCGGAGTTTTGCCCAGTTGATGTATGTTGTTGAAGAAGGCAGTTAACGGAGCTGATGCATGTTCTTGAAGCAAAGGTGTTGATATATGCATGTAATGGAGGTTTCGGGAAAGCTGATGTGATCTCCATGGGAGATTTCAGGTTCTACGCCACTTTCAACTTCACAGAATCACACTTCATATAGCAACTTAAATTCGTATACAAATTTACGCATTAAAGGTTTTTATGACTTAGGAGTCCAAATGGTGGTATATAACGGTCCCTAAATTTATCCAAAGCTGCTTTAAAAAATAAATAAATAAATATGATTCAGAAATACGGAGTATAAAAGTTAGTGTGTTTGATTTGCGTTATATATAAAATAAATATAACGGTCCTGTTATAAATATATCATTATGTGGACATTATTATAGATTATATAACGACTTCTGTATTTATGTCTCTATTATATCTTCCGTTACGTTTGTACACTATATAGAAGTGTTGTGGTTGTATGATTGAATACAGATGAATGAATAAGAAATTATCCCTCTTTCTTCCTTATCTCTTTGATTTCTTAACATGTTATCAGCACCTTGCTCTACATCTGCCGTCTGTCATCATAGTGAACGGAGTCGGATGATCCGTAGGAGTCTTTGTGTTTAGCGATTGCCCGCCGCGAATCAATGGTGTATACTAACGCAACTAGGTTGAATTTGGTAGGACCTCTCGATGATCTTGCTTCTCTCTAAAAAACCTAACTTCAGTCGAACACCTTTTTCCGATTTTTCGGCCTAAATTTATCCAAAGTTATGGTGGAACACGTACAGTTTGGAACCTAAGGCCGTAGACGATGAAGGTAACCGATAAAGGGCTAGCGAATATGAAAAACTCGATGCAAATCATGGTGAAAGAGACCATAGAATTGAAATATAGGTGCGAATGAAGATTTTTGAGGAATAATAATCCAGGGAGTGGACATAATAATTCAGCAAGCTAAGGGACAACAAGAGGCCAAAGTTGATTAACGACGCTCTGCAGATAATCAATGATTTTCAAAGTCCACTAGTTAAAATTAGTTATGAAATGTATGTCCTATATCTCAGCTTGCTTAGGGATCGAGTACCTGTTGTTCCTTACTATATTTTGATCTGATGTTGAGATTATTTAATATTTTGTGGACATCTTTAATGTCTGAATAGTGTTTACATAACATTACAATTAGGCTGTTGGATATGGAAATAAACCTCCTAATTATGGATGCAACTTGTAAATTGTAATCTATTGTAGTTACTTGAACCTGTTTCATGAACATACTGCCGAAGCTGATTAGGCCTCTAATCACCATGTATAATGAACGATAGTTCTAAATCAACAAGTCTAAAATTACTTAAATAGCAAAGTCTTTTAAGTCACACTTTTAGTTGACAGAACAAAAGCAAAAGTTCTGATCTGCAGAAAGGTAAATGATGAGAATAACAAAATGAAACAAAAAATAATCAAATTTGTTTGCTTTGGGACTGGCAACAATGCAGAAACAGAAGCTTCTTCTCTCAATGGCCAAAATTAGCTTCTCTAGGAGCGAAGTCCCCTGTTAAGACTAACCATCCGACCTGATGTATCGCCGCCTTGGCTTCCCCTGGCTGAGGACCCACCCTGGTACCGTGATCCTTGACTGCCTGAATAACCACCAGAGGATCGTGCCTGGTTGGATCGATGATCCCTGCCAGACGATTGCCCAGATCCTAACGCTCTATTATACCCACCTCTGCCACCTCCAGTGCCACCTTGCCTGCCTTGTGAGAAGAACTCCTGCCACTTTCCGCCACCACCACCACCACCAGCTGCACCATAATCTTGGCCATCCCTGCGTCTCAAGGGTGGGCCATCCAATCCACCACCAATCCTCGACTCTAGTGCTCTGTCATTACTTTCTGCAAGAATTCCTAGCTTCTCTGTCAGCTGGAATGCCAAAGCCTGCAGTCTTGTATGCTCAACATCATGGAAGACCACACACCGAGTTGGTTGATCCCAGCTCGCATGAAGTTCATCAGTGATCATAAGTTTGCTCACAATGCAATGAGTTTGGGAGTCCGAGAGTTCAAACATCTTGGCAAGTTGATCCAGGCCAAGAGAGTTATAAGAGGAGGAATAAGTGAAAAGATACGTCCTCAAGGCCTCTTCCTTGATTTTTGCCCTAACCATTTCAACAACAGTGTCTTTATTCCGAAGCAGCCTCCAAACATCAAGGGAGTTAATAACATCAAAGGCCTTTTTGAAATCTCCCTGCCGTAGGGCTCTTGTAGCTGCCATTACATGGTCCCTAACATTTTCAGGAGGCCCAGTGAATGTTTGCCTCTCGCTAATCTCTAGCAATCTCCGGAAAGTCTTGCTTATTACTTTGCGCTTTGCGTCATGGCTATTGGCTGCCATGTTTGGAACTTCCAACAGCATTGCACAAATAAGATGGACAGCTTCAAGAAGCTCAAGATTTATGTGCATATGATATGGCATTTGACGCCTCCTTTCCATTCTCTCCTGATAATATCAAAACATGACTTCACATTAAAATGTATGATGCAAATATAATGATGTAAGCAGAAAAAGAATCTGAAAAACTCCTCTGCACTAATGTGCAAGTATACCATGTGAAAGAATCAGTACTATAGGGGAATAGAAAAAGCGGTAGAATAATTGGGGAAACTTGGTTGGAAAATTTATCAAATAAGACTAATAGTCACTATAATAAATAGTATCTCATGAAGAAAACAACGACTCTAAATGTAACAGCAGTGCCCATTATTTATATGCAACAGCACACAAGAGATGCCCTATGAAATAACAGAAAAGTCCATGACAACTCTGTCACACCCTTCTCTGCATTTCAATGAAATTTAAGATTCTATAGCTGCAAATTATGGACCACATGAATGTCAAAATATAGAGTCCATAATCATGTCATAGAAAAAGGTCATACCTGTTCTGGTGTCTTTTCATGATATCGGCTTTGAGAGACACCTTGTGCAAGCAATTCTTTTACCCTGCCAGCAGAATACAGCTCAGAAAGGCAACTATGCCCCTCGACAATAAGTCCAACCCTGAATGCACATAGACCAAGCTGAGCCATAGCTCTATTAAAAAGTATCTGTGTGGAAATGTCCATATGCTGTACATTATCCTGCAAGTGACTCATCAGCAAGAGATCACGGGACACAGAAAACTCATCCAAGATAGCATGGTGGTATATATCGCACAGCATAGCACGGGCTTTAGTTCGCTCATCGCCATACTTGTATATGAGTGAAACAAGCGTGTCCATCAAGGTCCTACTGTTCTCTTCAAAGGCAGGTTTTCTTGGAACAAGTTCTGGAGTTGGAACAATTGCAGGTGGACCCCTGCTCTCCTCAAGCGCCTTGTTTTCCTCACCAGACTCCATATCTTCCTCAGCATTCTGTGTTTGCTCAGCCCACTTCCTCATTGCATCATAGACTTCTTGTGGTTTATAATAAATTAGCTCAACCCGTTTAAGAGCCACTTTTGCCGCACCCTTATAATCTCCCGCCCTTTCTAAGTAATCCTGGACATTTTGAGCCAGAACGACAAACAATGGCTCATCTTTCAACCTCTCAACATATTCGCGTGTATGAGGATCAATAACCTGCAAGCTTTTAAAGAACTCCACATCTATCCTTTCCACAAAAGCTACCAGGTTCCCCCAGATTCTAATAGTCCCTTTGTGATCTGCTCCTTTTTGGGTCTCATTCTCATCAGGCTCCACCTTATCATCAACAACGATATTTGGGTACTGTGTCAGAATATCAAGTATGATAAGCATATTCTGCACACATTTTTTCCAAACATTTATAGGCATGTGCCCACTTAGGTTTTGATTAACATCAAACTGGGCCGAGACAACACTGAAAAGAATCTCAAGCTTCTGAGCAGGGGTCTTAGCCACCTTGGTCAAGAAGGTGAGCTGCTCAATCAATTCAATCCTACCAGTTCCCTTTCTACCCCTTGCAGAAACAATTTCCCTGAACTTCTTGTTGACAATATCCCAAGTGATTTGACTGGGATCCTTAAACTGTTTATCCATAAGCTTGTCTTTCTTGCTCAGCATTTTCTCCCACCCTGTACCAGCTTCAGTTGACTCATCATGACCTTCATCCTCATCCTCTTCCTCAGACTCTGCTTTTGTTGGGTCCTCTTCAAAGTCATCCTCCTCATCCTCATCTTCCTCATCTGAATCATCTTCACCCCCTTCATCCTCACTCTTTGGCGGATTCTTCCTATATGCATCAATAAGCTCCTCATATTGCTTGTTATTTTTCTTTAACTTCTGTTTCATTGAATTCATGGCTTTGGCATTACTACTACTCATTTTCTTCTTAGCTTCCTTATTCGCAAAGGCCTCACTAAGAAAATTCTCCAACATCACTAAAGCCTTTACGTAGAGATCAGGTATCTTCTCTGCATCTATTGTACGCATTACCTTCTCTAACTGCTTATTGATCTTGTCAAAACTCTCTTGCAAGCTGACCCAGTCATTTATCTTCATGGCATTCTTCATTTGATCAACAGTGGAAGACATCTCTTCATACCGCTTGTCAGAACGTTTGACGACACGTCGATGCACATTTGAGTCATCACTATCAGACTCGGAATCAGATACAAGATACTTGCTCTTATTTGCAGCATCAATTGAATCTACAGGTTCTTCAACCTCAATATCACTCTCCTCCTCTTCACTTTCACTGTCACCCCCCTGTAAAACCATAACACAAATAACCCATCTCAATATAAATCAAGTACATTTTTGTGCATATAGATAAAACAGCATAGTAAAAATAACTGACAAGAACCATTAATGAAAAGTACTAATTCTGTAATATCATAAAGGTTTTCATATTTTGCTATTCCACATTGATTGAAAACCAAAAGGATACTAAAACAAGTAGGTGAGTTTTTTTTTTTTTGGCAAAAATCCATATACTCTGCAATTTTCTGAATAACTCAAGTTGAAGCATTTACTCCAAAGACAAAAAACTTTCAAAAGTTAAGAAGGAATCTAGAAACTTTCAAAAGTTAGAATCCGCAATATCTGTGAAAAGTACAAACCTGAGTCCAAAATCGGGATGCCATGTCTCAAAGATTTGTTAAGAGAATAATAAACTGCATTGGAAACCAAAACCAAAAGAGAGCATCAGAAAAAGATACATAACAAAACTACAACACATGAAGACAACAATTACAAAAAGAAGAAATAAAAATTGAATCTTTAGGGATGTTACTGGGTTGGGTACCCTCCCATT